GATCTCACCCCCTCACCTCCGATGTAACAAACATGGTTCATGTGTGCATGTGTTTATGTATATCAGTATACGGTATACGGATTTGGTGATATACATATGTTATGGATGTATCCTAGCGGGTGCACTTGCACCTGGTCGGCTGCGAGGGATGACGTCTGTCAATGCTCCTTGTCGTGTGCTTGGTGTTGGTGGTCGTTGAGTGTGCCCCGAACATCTTCGCTACAGGTGCGCCGTGCTGTCAGGGATACGTAGCAATGTGTGGGCTGTTATGGCTCCTTGTAGCGTTTGTCATATGATTTGCAAAGTTTGCTCGCATTGCCTCACCTTCTACTGGTGTGATCGGCGTTGCATGCAAAGCCACACGGCTATCGATCAGAATGCAAGTCGCGCGTTACTGTTTGGGGTCTTCCGTGGTGCCACTGAGGAGATGCTCTTGGACGTGAGTGGATAGTTGCGGAACAAGCGACGAAACAGCACTGTGCGTGGTTGTTGTTGTTGTTGCTGTTGTTGTTGTTGCTGCTGCTGCTGCTGCTGCTGTTGTTGTTGTTGTTGTTGTTGTTGTTGTGGTTGTTGTCTTTTTTGCCTCCCTATGATGACCAGTTCAGAAGCAAGCTTCCTTCAAAGGCGTTCGTGGTTGAAGACCAACCTCCCTCCCTCCCCTCTGCACATCGCCGTTTTGGCCAAAGCACCAGAGGCCACGAACGAGCAATCCCACCAGCCCTCTGGGCGTCGGTGGTTTAGGGCGTTTCCTCTTCCACCCCTCCCTCTTCCCCTTCGGGGAGGGGTTTACCCCTCCCCCTACCCCCTCCCCACTGACCTGGACAGGAGGGGCGGGGAGCGGTCAGAGCGTCCAAAACAGCCTCGGCGAGGAAGCCAACATCATTGATTTTAGCAGGGTTTGGGCCCCATTTTGGCCTCCTGGGGGGGCAGCGCTAATTAAAGCTCAGCTTTTCTTTGATAGGTCTCCTCCAAGATGGCACAAAGAAGCGCCCAGGAGGCCCCAAGAGGTCCCAAGATGGCCCCAAGATGGCCCCAAGAGGCCCCCAAGAGGCCCCCAGAAGGCCCCCAAGAAGACCCTCAAGAGGCCCCCCCCCCCCGAGGCACCCAAGACCCCGAAGAGCCCCCCAGGATCGCCAAGAGACCCCCAAGACGTCCCAAGAGGCCCCCAAGAATCGCCCAAGAGATACTCCAAGAGGCTCCTAGAGGCATCCAAGAGACCTCTGGCCCTTGTGCTTGCTCCTCCTCCTCCTCCTGTTCCTCCTTCCTGCTCCTACTCCTTCTCTCCTCCTCCTCCTCCTCCTCCTCCTCCGCCTCCTCCTCATCCTATTCATCCTCCGTCTTCCCACTCCCTCATCCATCCATCCATCCACCTCCTCCTTCTCCTCCTCACTCCTTTGCACGGTTCGGCCGTCCTCCTCTTTGCTGCCGCACTTCCCTGATCACCTCAACTCGCCTGGACATCGTTTCGGGATGGGCTGGTGGGGATTTTTTTGTTTTACAGCCGCAGGCGGAAGCGCCGGCGGCGAGGGGTCACAGTCGGGCTGCGGCCGTGACGAATTACCCGGGCGCGCGCGGGGGCCGCGGATCAGGCGGCGGTGCAAGCAGCAAGCTGGTGGGGATAAGCGAAGCGTCTAGAATTTTTTCATGCCAGTGTGCGACTACTGCAAGGCACCCTGTGGTTGGCACTCCGTACCTGGGGTGCTGCGCAGCTCTACCGTGGTTACCTGCCTCACCTGCTGGTTCGACCCCGAGCACGACTGGGAACTCTCGCGCCGGAGGACCCAGAGACGGACTGGCTCTCTGACGAGGAGGACAACAACGGCCTCGGCCCGACGGGGTACGGCTTCATGTGGGAGGACGACTCCGACGAGGACGGGGAGAGCGAGGAGGACAGCTTCGTCCAGGACACGGAGCTCGACAGTGACGAGGAACCACAGGGACCCCTTGAGGAGCCAGTGCCCGATCCCGAGCCAGAGGCGTCTGCCAGGAGGCCCCGCTTGCAGTGATGGCGAAGGCTCAACTGAGAGGGTGCCGGCACTGTGGGAGGTCTTGGCATAGCGTGAGTCACTGCCCGAAGCTGGCCCAGCTGCTGCTCAGGAGCTTTGTGGGCCCCGGAAACGGCAGGGCCGTTTTTCCACCGTTTCCAAAAAAATGTCCCTTGAAAATGGAAACGGGAAAAAAACAGCTCCAGGACTGGAACCGGAGCCGGAACCAATCAAAACACGGCGACGGAACCGGTAACAAAACGGCGTCGGAACCGGCAACAAACACGGCAAAACGGGACCGGTAACAAAATGGCCCTGTCGTTTCCAGGGCCCACGAAGCTCAGGAGTGCGCAGGAGGCCCCCTCCCCCGACGCGGTCGTCGAGGCGCTCAAGGCCGGCGGCCGCGGGCCGAAGGTGGCTGGCACTCGGGCGAAGGCCATGCACCGCAGGGCTCAAAGGCTGCAGCGGAAGCGGGCGCAGCAGGGCCGCCAGTACAGGCCCGACGTGGGCGCGCCGTCCCCACGCCAAGATGCCGAGGGACGAGGAGGGGAGGATTACAGTCGGGGCGCTGACCAAAGGAACCCTAAGTAAGGAACGAGGCCCCCTTCTTCCATGAGTCAAACTTCGACTTCCCATCGAAAACTTGAGGAAACCCTGAGGCAAGCTGTGAAACAATCAAGGGACAGCGAGCCCCTCCCCAACGCAAAGGGTTCCTTCTTCAGCGACCCGACTGTAGGTTTCTCTGGGTTCTGGCATCCTCAGGTTTTCCCTGAGGTCTTCGCTGACAAGGTTGACCGCAGTTAGAAGATGGTCAGGGTGAGGCGCAGGAGGACGCGCAATATCTCGGAACGGGCGCGGGCGCGCCCGGGAAGGTGTCCACGGCCAGGTTGGCTACTCGAGGCCAAAGGCGCAAGGCCAACGAGAAGCGACGCTGCTTGGCCAGGAGCACGAAGGACGTGGCGAAGCTGACTGCTGCGACGAGGGGGAGGATGGCCAAGGCGTGGACAGCTTTGGCCAGGTGGCGCTTGGCAACGGTCTTCGCGCGAGGCTGCTTCACGCACTGCCCCTGCCCTCGGTGCCCTTCAGGCTGCGCGTGCACTGAGCTCCTCGGCCACGAGCAGGCAGGGCAGCGGGCCAGACACGCGGGCGCGGAAGGCACTGGTGGACGCTTCGGCTGAGAAGAAGAGGAAGCTTGACATCGTCTTCTTTCGGGGGAGCAACTGCGGTGATGTCTACAATGGCATCAAAGTCTGTGTGTCCCCTCAGGTCAAGTACCCCTTCCCATTGCCCATGCTTGGTGAGTTCGCGGAGCGGTCCCACGCGGCCGCCAAGCCCCAACTTGGACGGTGTTTGGACGGTGTTTTGGACGGTTCTCACAAGGAAGCTCTGCTGAAACCTCCCTGCTGAACGTTTTCGGTCATTTTTAAAGAGGAAGGCTTCCTGAATCTGTCCTGAGGCATGTTTTTGGAAGGTGGTCAACAGGAAGCCCTACTGGAACCTTCCTGGAGAAGGTTTCTGAAAGGTGTTAAAAGATAACCCCCTCGAAACCGTCCAAACTCTTTACCCAGAAAGCGGTTGGAAGATTTTAAACAGTAAACCCTCCTGACATCTTCGCGCGGAAGGCTTTTGGAAAGGTTTGTTTCTATGCGGAATCCAACAAAGCCCTTTCAAAAACCCTCCTGGGGAATGAATGTGGTCGGCAAGTTTTTGAGAGAAAGTCCTCCTGAAACCTTCCGGAGGCATGTTTTTGAAACACTTCTAGGAGGAATCCAACAAGCAACTTCCAAACAAAACCGTCCGGATGAAGGTTCCTGATGGTTTTGACAAGGAATCCCTCCTGAAAGCTTCCTGACAAAGGTTTTTTGCTGAGATAATGTTTCACACAAACACAAACACATCACATCAAACCTTCAGGAGGAAGGTTTTTGGCATGCTTTTAAGAGGAAGCCCGCCTGAAGACTTTCGGGGGAAGGTTTTTAGAATACTGTTGGGAGAAAGCCTCCCTTCCAAAAAACCTGTCCGAATAATGTTTTTTGATGGTTTTTCAACAAGACAACCTCCTGAAAGCTCCCGGAATAAGGTTTTTGGAAGGTTTGCTGGGGGGCATTTTATGACAACCTTCCATGACAACCTTCCAAAAGCCTCACTGGGGAATATTGTTGGAAGGTGCTTGAGGGACACCTTCCTGAAACCTTCCCAGAGAAAGGTTTTCGAACATGTGTAAAAAGACCCACCCGTAACCCATCCGCATTGTTCTAACGAAAAATCGGCGCCTGCGGCGGGCTCGTTGTATCATGTGTAAAACTCGGCGTTTGCGCCGGGCTTTTCCGAAGTCTCGCAGACTGCAAACGTCCCCGCCGCCCCCTCCCTCTTGTCCGCGGCTGCCGGGTGCTACGCAATTGCAAGAAACCGCATGTGGTGTTAGGTCGGGCGTGTCCCCCTACAGGCGGATTTTAGTCGAAATATTTAAAAAATGCACCAACACAAATCAAACATACCCAAAATCGTCGAAACATCGTCCCCCTGACTATCCTTTGACTGTTTTGAAAACTCCTCCTGTAGAGGGACATGCCCGACTTGATTGACCGTGGTGATCTTTTTTCGGGTCGGGCGAAAGGGGGGGACAGCAAAGGGGGGGTTTGAGAATCAGCTCACGTAGCTGATTTTCCCGGCGCCTCCCGGCGCCGGAGGCGGCTATGTATCGACAAATGGGCCCCTCGGTGAAGCCGAAACCAGCTGCATGCAGCAAATTTCGTAACCCCCCCTTTCCCAATCCCCCCCTTTCGCCCAGCCCGATTTTTCCCGACGCGAGGGGGCCTGGGCAGCGGGCTCCGCATTGCAGCCCTCCCCGACCCTCGACACTACCTCCTCCTCCTCCTCCTCCTCCTCCTCCTCCTCCTCCTATTCCTATTACTCCTCCTCCTCCTCCTCCTCCTCCTCCTCCTCCTCCTCCTCCTCCTCCTCCTCCTCCTCCTCCTCCTCCTCCTCCCCCCCCGGGGGAAGGGAGGGGGGTGCCTGGCGACGCCGGCCATCAGCACCGTCGCCGCGCAGCCGGGGCCGCGCGGTCGGTGGGGCCGATCCCCCCGGGGGGGCCAAGGGACCGACCAGCCTCGGACGCATCCCTTTCTTTCGGCGGGGAGGAGGAGGAGGAGGAAGAGGAGGAGGAGGAGGAGGAGGAGGAGGAGGAGGAGGAGGAGGAAGTGGAGAAAGAGGAGGAGGAGGAAGAGGAGGAACAGGCGGATCGGCAAGCGCAAGGCGACGACCACCCTAGAGACGTGCCCTCAGAAGCTGAGGGAACTCTTGAGATCGGCACTGGGGTGAGGCGATGCCAAACGTAAGGCTAGGGACTTGCTTCAGCTGGTAAATGACGGGTGGGTGGAAGAAGAAACAACTACATGAACATAAACTTTTGGCGCTCCGCGCGGATTTCTCAGATCTGCGCTGGACCCCCCATGGCGCGCGGAGCGCACCAGGGGCGGCGCTGGAGGCGCCGCCAGGGGGGGCCCAGCGCGGATGCGAGAAATCCGCGCGGAGCGACGAAAGTTTATGATTATAGTATTTGTTATGCTTCTTCTTCTTCTTCGATAAACGACGGGGTGGGAGCGGGGGCGATCAGGGCGGAGGGAGGGACCCATGACCCATGACCCCTACGCTGGCCCCTGTGGGGTCTGCGGCGTGCGAGATGTGCTGCCCCTCCCTATCTGCGCCCCTCCTCGCGGAGCTCCGCCCGGCTGGTTCTTGCGGGGGCCAAGACGGCCCAAGAGGGGCCCAAGACGGCCAACGAGCGCCCACGACGGCACAAAGGAGGAGGAGGAGGAGGAGGAGGAGGAGGAGGAGGAGGAGGAGGAGGAGGAGGAGGAGGAGGAGGAGGAGGAGGAGTGAGAGAGATCAAGGAGGGTCGACGATCGAAGAGACGGGGGCCGAAAGAAGGAGGGGAGAGCAGGAGGAGGAGGAGAAAGAGGAGGCGGAGGAGGAGGAGGAGGATGAGGAGGACCCCCCGAGGCCTCAAAGGACGTGTGGTGACAGACGCGTATGGTGACGTCCTCGGCTGGGATCCCGAGGCCGTCGTCAGAGGCCTCCCTAAGTGGGGTCCGAATAGATGGGGTCGAGGGGAACCCGCCGCGTCGCCGATGCATCGGCGATGCGTCGGCAACGTCGGCGATGCATCGGCGACGTCGGCGTGGAGAAAATCGGACTTCACATCGCGCCGCGTCGCCGATGCATTGGCACTACGGCGCGCTCCTGCGACCCCGTCTCCTTCGACCAAATGTAATGGGCCCAGAATGGTGCTGTCCTGGGGATCCCGAGGCCGTCGTGCGGTAGGGCACCCCGTGCGGCTTCCTCAAATCTGACTCTGCCAGGACATGCAACACGTAACAAACCACCATGTGTCCGATTTCTCGCTCGACGTTTCGACATTGGCCTAAGGGTGGGGGAGGGGGGGTGTCTTGCTCCGGAACTCTGCTTACTGCGACCCTTTGGAGCAATGCGTCCTATGGGGGAGACTCCACCAGCTCGAAACAGGCGCCAAAAACAGCCAAGATCTACTCCATGGGGCGGGGGGATCAAGCACACTCAAAAGGGGGTCCAGCTGAAAGGGGGTGGTGCAATCGATTTGGGGCAATTGCATTGCGGCGGAGAATTGTATCGCATTGTATTGCAAATGATGTATTGCACGCGAAAATCCAGCAATACATTTGCGCCCCGGAATATATTGCACGCCCCAACTGTATTGCAACCCCACAAGTCTATTGCACCGAATCTATTGCACCATCCCCTTGTCGCTGGACCCCTTTTTGGGTCAACCCGAGGGGAAGAGGGGGGTGCGAGGGCCCGCGCCGATCGGCAAAACAATGAATACGACAACGATCACCACCGGAGCCCCGGACCCCATCTTTCTGCCGCGTGTTTCGCACTGCATCGATCTGGGAGGCTCCCGCGGCCCAAAGCTCGGACAACAACCGCCTGGTGTGAACAACACATGCAACGCCGAGCTCTCAGGGCAGCAAAGCAGAGCAATGCATGTGTGCCCACCAGAGCAACAAAAAGCCACATGAACATAAACTTTTGGAGGTCCGCACGGAACTCTCAGATCCGCGCCGGACCGCCCTTCCCTGGTGCGCGGAGCGCGCCAGGGGCGGCGCCGGAGGGCCCACCAGGGCGCTCTGGCGCAGACCCAAGACATCCGAGCGGAGCGCCATCAAAGTCATGCTTATCCTGTTTTTGGGGCGCTGGCAGAACTGGGCTTCGGGGGGCCTGGTTTGGTGATGTGTACTGGGGGACGCCCCCCCGCTCTCTTCCACTATCCAGAGCTGCCGTCACCCGAAACAAAAACACCTGCTACGGCAGACCCGGCTTAGAGATTCAGGCCACTTCAGGGGCTCCAGGGCCCTACGCTACTGACCGGGTCGCCTTACCTGGGGTCCTGGCCATACCGAGCTGTTTCTCCTTCGGCTCACCCCCGGCCGTCGTGGGGTCTGTCGCACCCGCGCGGCTCTCGGGAGACCTCCGGGCCCCCGCGGGGGAGGCCGACCGACCGCGGCGCGCTGGCCGCGGCGAGCAGCCCGACCATCACCGCCACGGACGCCATGCCGCTGGCCGCCGGCCCACCTCCGTGACCCAGACCCCCGTGGGCAGTGAGTAGGGGGAAACCAAACCTACCTCGCTTTTGACCACCCTCGCTTCCAAGAGATACCAAACGATGCCAAACTACGGCCTGTACTGATCAGGCCGCTTGACGAGGGCGCGTGGTATCACTTGGTTTTGCCTGGAAGCGAAAGCGGGGTAGGTAATCCACGCTCTGAGTGAGAGGAATCACGACGGAGCGTTATTGCATATGTTCTGCGTCTGGGGGCCCTTGCCGGGCTGCGGGGCCGTCAGCAGAAACTGCCCAGGACGACGAGCCGGTCCCCAGGGAGGGCTCCAGACCTCCAGGGGCCCCCTTCGCGGAAAAAAAAGGAAGCCCAGGCCCCCAGCGCGTTGTGGCAAAACGCCACGGACAACCTATCATTTTTCCTGGCCTCTGCTTGGATGACCGCGATGGTTGCTAGAAGGACAGGGGGTGAGACAAGTGCTTGCGAAGACGGGTTACAGCTGGCCTGACCTGCCAGAGAGGTGGGTTGCACATGCCCTCAGTAGCTCAACCGGGATAGGCAACTCTGGCAGGTGGGCTCCGCCCACTCAGTCCAGATCTCTGCCCCCCGTGAGCCGCTCAGGGCACTTGCAGCCTACTCGTGGCCTTACCTCAGCATTCACTTTCACCCCCCGAAATCCCCTTAGCAACCCCCCGTGGTCATCAAAATGGGGGCCCTTGCCCGACCTCGGGGCCGTCAAAAAGAGACTCCAGATGAAACAAAACAAAATTCCCCGGGAAGGGGTCCAGACCAACGGAGTTCATCTCGCGAAACTATCACGAACCCGGATGTCTGGAGGTGAGGGGGGACAATGGGGGGGGGCGGGCTAAGGGAGGGAGCATCGACTTGGAATCGGCGATACATAGCCGATGATTCAGTAAAACAGACCCCTGACAACCAAACGGAAAGCATCGAGCTGAAATCGGCGATTCGTCACCGATAGACCGGCGCTGGGCACCAGATGGCGAAGCCGCTCGGTGGGCTAATCGGGCCCGTCGGCGATGAAGGGGCGATGGGGGGTTAATGATCGAGTACCATGTGGGACTGCTCTACTCCAGGAACGTACCGTAGACGGATCTACCCGTTTCTCCGACCTTGTACTGTGCCGAGCGCAACGGCCGCGTTGCCCATGGACGCATCCACCCCGAATGCGTCTACACATACGTACAGTCATCGGCCTGACCTAGGTAACGACAAAGAAGGAACGAAGCCTCTTTTTTCCAAGGAATAACGCACAAGCAACGATATATAATACATCACGGATAAGGAGCAATGAATACCGCATGCAAGCCCAGGGAACGACCGAGCCCCGTCTGAGAGTAAGTCTTCCTTATACAAGCCGCTCGCTGTAACAATACCTTGTGTGTCTGCAGACGCCCTTATCTGGCACAGGCCCGAGACACTGGTCCTGCAAAAGCAGTGGCTCTGCCCCCCTAAGGTTTAGGTCGTGCATGTCCTCCTACAGGCGGATATTGGGACGAATTCTAGAAATGACTCCAAAAAATACTCAAGCACATCAAACATAATTAAAACTATCGTCCCCAGACTTTGAAAACAAAAAAAAACTACGTTCGCATACACCTCCTGTGGAGGCACAGACCCGACTGACAAATCCAAGCTCCATGCGCCCCCCCCCCGCCTGTCCCCCCCCCCCCGCAGGCCCGGCAGGCCGTCCCCGCGGGGCCGGCGGCGGCCGCGCGGGGGCCCCCCAGAGGGGCGGCGGCGGGCGGGGGGCGCCGCTGCAGGGCGACGGCGCGCGGGGCGGGAGGGCACGCTGCCAGCGCGCGCGGGGGAGGAGGCACGACGAGGAGGCGTAACTCAGGGCTGGGATCGGGATAAATCGCTCCAGAGCGTTCCGGAGCGCTCTCAGAGCGTTCCGGAACGCTCTGGAGCGGCCGCGGCGCCCAATACATCCTCCAAACCCGCCGATTCTCAGAGATTTCGAATTATCCCGATCCGATTTTGTCCCGATCTTCGTGTCGTTTTAAGGCGACGGCCATTGGGGGGAGGCCATGCCGGCGCTGCTCGGGCGGGGCGGGGCCAGCGACGGTGGCCCAGGACGGGCCGCATGGGGAAGTATCCGGAGGGCGAAACATGGCATAAGCATGAAAACTCGGTGGTCCGCGCGGATTCTCGGATCCGCGCCGGACCCCCCCTGGCGGCGCCTCCGGTGCCGCCCCTGGCGCGCTCCGCGCGCCAGGGAGGGGGGTCCGATCCGAGAAACCCGCGCGGACCTGCGAGTTCTTATATGTTCATGGCACGCTTCGTTCCAGTAAGGATGCGCTCCTCGGAGAGGGTCGTTCCTCCTCGCTGTGCGCTCTGGCCGTGGGGGAGGGAGCCAGCGAGCCACCCATGCGGAGCACCCCCCCCGGGGCCTTCCTGCGGCTCGGCGGGCGAGGCCGTGGCCCCATCTCACACGAACAGGGGCCCGATAGGTTTCCCCATGGTTTCCAATATTTTCTGTGTCTGCGTCTCCCCCCCTC